CTTCTTATTAAATATTATGTGGTTTAACAGATTCTGTGATTTAATGTTTTATTTTCGTTTTATACCATCAACTGACAGGTTGCAGATGGAAATTAGCCCCTGTGGCTAAAAATGGAACATTTGCATAATGGATTGAGCTACCGGTACTTATAATTTTTTAAAATAGGCAAAATAAATGCACACTCTTTAAATTATCATGCTAAAGATAAAATAAGAACATGTTAGACAGTGATTTTAAAAGGGCTTTTTACGTAACAGATCTTGCTAGAAAAATAAATATGATGCTATGATCAAAGGCAGTTTGGCGTTTACAGTGCTCTTGTGTTCACAATTATGTTGTAACTACTTATGGATAAATAGAAAATAAATCATTTAAAGTTTCAAGGTGTATGCTAATGAAAATTTATTTGAACAGTCCCCTAATCCTTGACTCTTGACAGGAACAGATAAAAGCTTCTGTTTTTTTCCTGCCTACTATTCTAATGCTGTAATTGAGTTTAGGGTGGGAACAAGGAGGTAATCAAAACCTATTGTTGATCTATCAGGAAGACTAATTTGGTCCAGTCCATGTTAAGTTTTACTTTCTATTTCCACAAATCTACTCAAGTAGTGAACCAGCTAAGCAATGCTGTTAAAAAAACTGAAGGAAGTAATTAAATATGCAGTACTCTACATTTTATAGTAAATTAATCGTTAATCCTGCTTCACACTATCGGGTGTTGTGCAATGCGTAAGCAGTAAGCAAAATGAAACATCTGACAGAAACAGGCTGCAATGGAAATGATTTATTTTCAAGTTATATGGTTTCCTTAATTAAATGCTCAGTGGAAGAAGAGTTTGACTACGACAGTGGTCCCTATTTAAAACTGAGTACATATTGGTCAAAAACAATAGCTTCTTTGTTTCAACTGCTGGTGTCTTTTGTTTGTTCCATTTCAGCTAAATCCAAGACTTAAGGGATTTTTGGGGTTCTGTTCTTCTTTGCATTTTCGACAGCATCCCAAGTATTTTGGAAAAAAGGAAGCAAATAAAGGCTTTAGATGGAGCTCTTCTCCTCTCTCTGCCAAAAAGGTCCCTTACATATGAACATCTTCTCTTTCTTGCACAGTTCTTTTACATTATGTGACAGCCAAATGAATGCACTTGTTTTCTCACTACATAAAAAGACAAGCAATGAGGACAGTTTCTACTGGAGACAGCAAAAATAGAAACCAGTCTTGTGTTTATACACCAAGAGCACAAAAGCCAATGAAAACAAGGAATATGTTGAGTGCCATATGTGGGCCAGTCACACTATACAGCATCTTTGTGTTTATTAAAGAGCTGTCTTAAGAACTGACTTGAAGCTTGAAGTGAAGTGAAGCTGGAAATAAAACCAGGGGTGATGTAAACACACACTGGCTGCAATCAAACACAACATTTTAACAGAACGACTTAAACATAAAAGAAAAAATATAAAAGTAAATAAAACTTAAGGAGTTTTTCATTAACCATGATTAGTATATATATGTATTTTTTGATGCAATTCCTTTTTTCCTTATATTTTTAAGTTATTTGTCTTAGTTTTCTGCTATATATCAGTGTCACTACTGCATATGAGTTGTTGATGGTCTTAGTCTTTCTTTCTATATTTTTTCTTCTGAGAAATACACTTTATAATTAAGAAATATTATAATTTCAAGGCTATATTTGTAGAACAAAAACAGAAAAAAGAAAAAAAAACATTTACTGTGTGTGGCATTTAGTAAAACCTCAGGCTGTGACATTCTTCTATCTGTGAATGCTGAGCAGACCAGAGACTGGTCCAATAACAGAAAGCGGACTACAGTTAATTAAAAAAATCCCCACCTCTATGACTTTTTAATATTTTGTCACTATGTGGGATTTTATTTGAGAGGCCAACACAAAGTAACACACAGTTAAGTGGAACTGATGTGACTATAATCTAGATGTTAGCAAACACATAAAACAACAAACCAAACTGTGGCTTACCATCGTCTATGTCTTTGAGGATGCTGACTGTAGTGGTAGGATAGTGCATTCCTAGCCGACCTCCAACAGGCAGGGTCAGAATCACGCTGAAGCTCTCCACTTCCTCGTACAGAGAGTCATCGATGATCACCACGCGACACGTCTTCTCCCGCTCTCCTTTGTCGAATCGAAGGATGCTGCCGTGTTCCTCGGGACGTGAAATGTAGTCCGAGTAGGACAGAACGGTGGTGGGGATCGTTCCTGTGGCAGAACCTTTGGAAGAACCAGGAAAAAAAGGAGTGCGAGGAGATGCTTAGAGAGTTTGTGGAGGAAACTGAAGATGGCGGAAAATTAAATACGACTGGAAAGGCAAATCTTATGGGGCATAGCCTGAGACTCAACTGTGCTTTAAACCGTAGTGGAGCTAACGCATGAAGATAAAACATGGTATGGACTATGGTCTTTACTATGATGTATTCCTGACATTTAAGTTGCTATTTCTTCATCAGTATTTAAAGTCTTAATTGTATGACAGCAAACGGAATATAATAAATAATATTATTAGAGCAACTAAAATATTTTAGAGCAATCTCTATAGCTGTGCTCCTGTTGGCAGGTGGAAGAAAAACTGTCACCTTTTCCACACTGTGTAATTTTTACTGTTACTCTCCATTCAGGAAACATTCAGTCTTTATTTGTTTATTAGCTTTGTATTCTTTTTCTTTTGTTTTTTCTTAAAAGATACACTTTACCCAGTGATTGTATGCTTAGTTGTGTCCGATTGTTGCCCTCTGAACTGCACAGCTCATACTGTGCTTGATTCTGATGTTTTTTTTTAATTTTCTTTCATGTTGAAAGAGAGTTATTCGTCTTCACTTGCTCAGGATAAGGGAGAGTTGCAAAGTCAACCACTTAATTGCAGCTGACTGATCTTAAAGAGATACGTCTTAATTAACTTTAACTGATGAGCTGAATTAGACATCATTGTCTCACAATTTGGATTAAACTGAGTTGCTCACATGGCTTCATATTAAAATATTGTGCATATTGTGATCTGAAAATTTCACGTTTACATTTTGTTAGCTTTAACTGATTAAAAATGATTTTAAATCGTTAGACTCTTCTGATCTGCACCACCTGATTTTAGTAGTCTCAACAATGTGGGAGAGATACAAAGGAAAAGGAGCAGATTCGCACCCTGCTGTGTGGAACAGACCACCATCAGTTCCTCACTTATGTCTCCACTGCGGTGTACGGGGATGAAAAGCTCCCCAACATCTTCCTCTATTGAATGAATTGGTTCAGGAAAGAACACGGTCGACTCTGGAAAAAGAAAAGCAAAAAAAGAGAAGAACAGGGTGAAGTTAATGACATGTGTAACGGTAGGCTGTAATCCACAGAACATCAGGTAGTGAGGAAGTTATGCAGGCTAGTCGCTCTATGACTATGTATTCTGTGCTGGTAGAATATTACTTTTATCTACTTAGGTGGTCATCCTGCAGAGAGGTTATGCATATGAAAAAAAAACAATCTCCATCACAGTTTTCTGGTTTGATGTAACCAGAGAGGCTCTTCAAAGACACCCCTACAGAGCTTTTTTTTTTTTTTTTTTTATACCTCCTTGCATGTGGCAGACAAATACAATTGCAGGCCTCCCAAGATCATCACGCAGAGCTTCATCACCTGGGAGTTTCACTCATCGACTCTCGTGTGCACAGACGGGTCAGCCACTCACTTATTTTTCTTCTCTACTTCTTAATCATCTCTTGCCTCTCTGGTTTGTGACTGAGAGAAAAACTTAGATTCGTTGAAAGCATCATCTATCAAAGCAAAAACCTCGTAGTGTGGCAACAGAATGGTTGGAGTTGCTTCCCGCACAGCACTCTGGGGCCAATAAAAATAATTATAAAGTGAACTAACTTTCAGCTCGTCTCAGATCTTCTGGTGCTGTCTATTTTTGTGGAGAAAATGAGCGACTGAATGAAGGGAGACTCAAAGAGCACTTGCGGATTGCTTTTGCAGCATGAACACCAATTAAAGGGCCGGAGAGTAGACAATCCAAAGAAATAGATTTATCTTTGAAACAACATATGGCGTAAGAGGAGATAAACACCTGAGAAGACTCTTTGAGATGAAGCCATCAATATAAGACAATCTTACACACAGTGGGAGGTCAAACATTTCTCCTCTCTTGTGATAACACTTGCTAAATCGTTCTCCCTCCTCTCAATCTTCCAGCGTTTCTCCTTTCTGCTACAGCCTATAATCTGTCACTCCCCGGGGGAAAGTCGTGCGGCTGGAGGTTTGGGCGGGAGGGGGTGCTGCAAGAGCAGGATACCGGGCTCCGCCGCCTTACCTATTCCTTTCACACACTCAAACGCACCACAAATTTCCACTCCCACTCCATGCATATACTACAAACTTCGTCTCACCTCATAGTACTTTCACGTCTCATTCCACCATTTCCTCCTGCACAGCCCCCTTAATCCAGTCAAGATTTAGAAAAGGCAAACTTTTCATCCAAGTGGGTCAAGTTCACCTTCTTGAGAAAAACGCACTGTCATTTTAAAACATTCATGGGGAATGCGAAAAAGTAACACGCTTGTAAAGACGGTGCTGAATCTAGAAGTGCTTGCATCTAATCTTGTTTTTAATCTAGCAGAAAAGAAAGCAAAACAGGAACTCTGTTTGGCTTTTATAACTCTGTATAGCACTTCTCAAATATTGATAAATCATGAATTTTCTACGGATGCAGGAATGTGTTCTGTGTAGTTTTTTTCTAGATGTTTTGTCTATACTTTGAGCACCTTGTATAAAAAAAAGAAAAAATATGCCACACATGCAACGAGAAAACCAGCAGTTGATAACGAACACACAGGTTCCATCTTTTTAAGCACAAGCAAACCTCTATAGGTCAACAAAGCCGTTGACCTTGTACCTTCATAGAAATACAAAGATGAAAAAGAAAACCATACTTCACATGAATTTAACAGCATTGGTACAAAATGCAAACAGTAAGAGTTCCACTGATATATAGCATCACTGCGGAAGAAAAAGCAAGCAAGATGTATTACCGACTGTGGCGAGAAGCAGTTTCTTGCAGCATACAGTCAAACAGCAGGCTGCCACCTTCAGCTTTAGTCAGCACTGTGCATGGATTATATATGGAAGTTTGCAGGAGGAGACTCAGCTATTGCAAAGGAAATGGGCTGCAGCATGAGCCCAGTTATGTTGGTATTAATCAAAAAGTGAGGAGGATGAAAATAACATATGCACTCTAAAAGCTGAGAGGACTATAAAATGTTTACAAAAGTATTCTCAATGCCCAAACAGACAGTGCTCTGATACCTGAGATTCCAACCCATCTGTGGTACCTTATGAAGCAAAACTCATTCAGTAAAAATATGATTTCCAGCACAATATTATCTTTCCCTGTCTGCTCTTGGGTTCAGCTCTTCTGTAACTAACGGGAAAGACCAAAAGTGACTTTTTTGGTCTGCCTACAAGACTTTACATGAAGCAGAAGACTAACATTACCTTGAATACACTGTGGCCACAGTGAAACGTTGGCAGTGTCATGCTATGCTATTTCATTAGAAGGGTCATGGGAGCTGGTCACAGTTGATGGGAAGGTAGATAAAGCCAAACAAAGAGTATTAATAAGTGGAAGAAGACCTGTTGGAGATTGTAAAAGACTTGAGACGGAATGGGGAGATCAGGTTCTATCAGGGTATTACACATAGAAGATCTATTCACGTTTTGTGGCAAGACTTGAAAATTGATCAGACATTCTCCATCTAGTCTCAGTGACCTTGCGCAATTGTGCAAAGCTGGTAGAGATATTTCCAGAAGACTTGCCATTACACATAAAAAGTGGTTATACCTACTATTAACTCAGGCGAGATGAAATCAAATTCATTTCTGCACATTTCTAGGATTTTATTTGGAAAAACATACACATTTTCCCTCTGTTCATCTTCCACAATGCGCCACTTTTGGTACATTTTATTTTCCCAAATAAAATCTGTAAAACTAAAAATTACCGTAAAACAATATTTAGCAGCTCTAAAAGATATATTGCACAGTCACACAGACATTTTCAGAGCCCTTATAAGAAGAAACTGTTTGCCTAAATCTTGGAACGGTTCTAGCTAAAGCTTAGCGTCTCCCTCCTCGAAAGTAGATATTAACTAGGCTGAAATGTTCTCAAGGGAGGGAATCTTCAGGCCAACCGAAGGACCACACAAACGCTGGTTTCATCATTTAAGACCACACTGTTAATGCCACTGGCAAAGCCAAATCTTCTCTGGGCCCATTAGATTACAGAGGGACACATCTCTGTCACATAAGACTGTCCCTGGAGACAGCAGAAAACAAACCAGCTCCTAACCCCTCCTCACACATATCATAATTAACCCACAAGGGAGGAGGATCGGAGGCAGGAAAATGAAGCGGGGAGAGCCTGAAAGCTAGAGAATATGTCGACAAATGAGCAAGAGAGTTATGAGCAACTGTTGTGTGTTTTTAATTACGTAGAGGCTGAGCTGGAGAGAGGGATAATGCATACAAATACCAAGAAGCAAAAGTGACAAAAGAGTAAATCTAACATTGATTGAGCAGAGCTGTGCCACTTAAAATTCCATTAACGTTTCAATTTTAAGAGCGAGAGAGAGTTAAAAAAAAAAAAAAAGAAAAGAAAAACTAGGGCAGAGAAAATTGCAATAAAACCCTAAATAAGAAGGTGAGCTCCCTGTGTGTGGGTGAGTGGAATGTCTGATTTTATTGCTACTTTTGTAACACTTGTTTTTTTTTTTTTTTTTTTTGAAATTAACCAGGCTGCACAGTGGCGCAGTTGGTAGAGCTGTTGCCGTGCAGCAAGAAGGTTCTGGGTTCAATTCCCGGCCCCGGTCTTTCTGCATGGAGTTTGCATGTTCTCCCTGTGCATGCGTGGGTTTTCTCCGGGTACTCCGGTTTCCTCCCACAGTCCAAAAAACATGACTGTTAGGTTAATTGGTCTGTCTAAATTGCCCCTAGGTGTGTGTGCGCATGGTTGTGTGTCTGTGTTGCCCTGCGACAGACTGGCGACCTGTCCAGGAACGTAAGCTGGTGATAGGCACCAGCACCCCTCCCGACCCCACTGAGGGACAAGGGTGTTCAGAAAATGGATGGATGAAATTAACCACCGTGTTCATTTTGAGGAGCAAGAGTTAGAAACACCATTCAGAACAAAAGAAATGCATCATCCCTAAAATGCTTCTCATCTGGCTAACATGTCACAAATGAATTTCCATGCTGCAGCTGAGAGATTTCACCAACTCTCCATATCAGCAAGAGACAGTGTTTATACTGACATTTTCCGTCTTTCACTTTTCTACATTTAATCATATATGCATGTTGCACATGTATCATTATGAAAAGTGTAATTGAATGCCAGAGAGCATTTTGAGCTATTTTCACTGTAAATGTTGAATCTCTTATTTTGTTTTTTACTTATATTGGTCAGGATGAAGTTAGACATATCAAAATTTGATATATGATCTATAAAATTGAAATCCATATTAGTCTAATCAACATTTGAGCAGAAAATCTTCTGTCATTCAACACATATATAAAAGGATAAAGCTCAGACATAATCCACAGTCAGTCCTGTGAAAAAGCCTTGTGCAGTTTCACACACGTAAAAATCTGAAACTGGCTGAGCAGCAGAAGCTGAAAGATGGGAGTAAATTACAGAGGTGTGAAAAAAGTATTAGTAGTATTTGCAGTCCTCTGTATAGAGCTTCTGTTTTATGTTTTGTTTGTTAAACTTAAATGTTTTGGGTCTTTAAGCAAATCCAGCAACCTCTGTAAGTACAAAAATGTTTTCAAATTAGCTTAAGCAAAAAAAGATATCAAATTAAAGAAATATTAACACATCTAAAACTATACCAATGAACAGATGAGAAACAATATATGACATTTAACAGTCTGAGGAGAGTTACAAAATATTTTTCTAAGGCTTCAGGACTCTAGTGAACCCCAGTTACCCACAAATTTGAGAAAATGCAGGACAGTGGTGAACACTGAGCTGGCAAAAAGCACTCCAAGAGCGCATCAATGACTCATCCCAGGAGGCTACAAAAGAAACTAGAATGACATCTAAAGCAAGAAAGAGAGCGGGAAAGAATGGCATCCATGGGAGAGTTGCGGGGTGGAAACTACTGCTGACCAGAAACAACACTAACTCCCATCTTGCTTTTGCAAAAAAAGACTTTTGAAACAAGATTCCAATATGAAAGTGGAGCTTTTCAGAAGGTGCATTTCCCATCAAATCTGGTGTAAAAACTAACACCACGTTAGATTTTGGGGAAATGATTCCCTGCACACAGAATGAACATACTGCATGGATATAGAGTGTTCATCAGCAGCACTGACCATCATCTGGGTCTAGGATCTCCACTGTTGCTGAGATGGGGAACTCCATCACTCCCATCACCGGTTCAGACAGCAGAATCTGGAAGGTCTCCGCTTGCTCGTACTTATCGTCAGTCAGAATCTGAACATGCCACGTCGCTCTCGTCTGTCCTGGATTGAACTGGACCTGCCTTTGAGACTTCCCCTTGAAGTCCTCATCTTTTCTTGCACTGCCATCTTGTGTGCCAATGCCTGCGAGGAACAAAGAAGACAAAAAGCACAAAAAGAATTAGCCATGCAAAATGAATTTAACCAATAGGCAAGAAGTCGAGGGAAAACAAAGACACAAGCAATGGGGGAGCGACAGACACAAGAAAGAAACAGATGAAAAACAGATTAAAAATTCACACCCTTTAACAGAGAGGTGAGGAAATGAGTGCTGTGTTTTTCTCTTCGCTGATCACTTAGAGTGGAATGTGTGAATGATATTTGTGACTGAAATATTTAATATACGGCCCACTCTTTGTTACAAGAGAGATTAGTTACAATGCAGTGGCTTTTCAGCTCTGTGCCACATCATTTTCAACTAAATCTAATCTGAATAAACCCTTTAATGCAACTCTATTTCACTGTGATATATCTAATGGCACCATTAAAATGGGGCTCTAACCAACTGGTAACACTGGCTTTCAGATTAAAGACAACAGGGAACACTGGTGGCACTTATGAAATGCGTTACGTCTGGAAGTGAGCTGTTCATGTTCTTTGTTTACAGTCATAAAGCCCTTGGCGAACAAACAGAACCGTTACTACGCCAGGCAGACACTCATGCCTGTGAGTCCAGGACAAAAGGATTTGTTATCTCTTTTCAGACGTTCTGATGCCTGCACAAACAACAAGGGGGTGACAAACATATGCAGATGGGATTGGATACATATTGAACATGAGCACACTGTGATTATTGTATGCAGAAGATAAGCTGAAAATAAATGTTGCAACAGAACAACAAAACGCAGTCACTCTCATTCAAATTAAATTTTTTATTTTAGCGTCGTTGCATTGTGTACCAAAAACAGCGTAAAACAGAATGAGAACGTTTTTCTGGCGTGTATTACGTACTGATCTAGACCAGGACAGATGAAGGAAACTATAAAACATATAAATGTAGAATAAGTACAATAATGTAAAGTGCATAATAAACAGCAGCTCAACATTTTAACAGCTTGAGTCAGAAAGGCAAATCTGGTGGTCCTGGTTTTGATGTATCATTTGCATGTTTACAGAAGCTGAAAACGTTCCTGGAGAGGGCTTTGGAGAGTCACAGCAGAAGGGAGTCTGACATCAGGAAATGGGACAAAAAGACCCATGTGCTGGAAAAAATCTAGGTCAAGGTGTAAAACCAAGGGCTGTTGTATGCAAGTCAGTGATTAGTTCATAATATGCAAGTTCTGGAGGATAACATGTTCTTGGAGCCTAAAATCTCCCTCTTTTTGATCCCAAGCAGTGATATTTGATGTATATCATCACACAACAATAAATCTGAGTAAATGTACAGTGCTGGTCATAAACAACACTGATCATCATGATGAACGTCATTGACTGATTATTCATTTCAAACGTTTTTTTTTGTGTTTTTTGTTTTTTCCAGCTTGGTCCTGTATGTCATATAACTAACAGCTTTGGGTTCAAAAGCTTGAATATATCATGGATTTTCTCTAATCCACAAAGACTCAAACATGTGCGCTTTACTAACATTTGAACAAAACTCCCTCTGCAAGGTACAAACTACAGTTTATGCTTTCTGTACTCATTAACACACGTCAGTGTTTTAGTTTGATCGATGACAATTCTTGTCATCACAAATGGAAACCTTAATTTACAAAGATTGACTTCCTGGAACTGACCAATAATTCAATAATTGCCCTCAGTGACCATCATGACCTGGAGCACTGCTTTTCAACAGTGCAGCCTTATCACCTAAATTTAAGACTAGCTTATATTTTTTACACTATTCCAAAACAAAAAAAAATTCCTCTTTTTTTTTTTTTTTTTTTTTTAACTTTCATTCTAATAATCAGTTTATCCACATAAAATAAAAAATAAAAATAAAAAAACACATGGAATAAAATGTGCCTTTAAAGAAAGAAAGTGTTAATCATAAAGTCTGTGGAGTCTCACAGCTCCACACTTATTCTGCTCTCTGGAGAAAAAAGGCACAGTTTGTGGGTCACATTGAGGTTCCCTCTGTGGAGGAGGATAGATACCCTCCAAACTGTTGATCACATTGACTGTTAGTCATGGATTTGAAGACCCTGATGTTTGTGTCTCAGAACAGAAGTTTCAAGTTACAAATCCCCCCAAATACCTGTCACACTCCAAGCTTACCTTATTTTTGTCTATTGAGACATTTAAATATGTGATATATAAATGCTTTTGGGGTGAGAGTAATCACTTCATCAACAGAAAAAAAAAATGTTGTTGTAATACAGCTCATTTACACATGGAGGAAAACTGTAGAAAGCCAGTTTAGTGCCCAAAAGTTTCTAACCTCATATCTTTTTGTATTCTGTTACATCTGTCTACATAAAATCTGCTGTAATTTAGTTTTACTTCCGTATTTTTTTCTTACATAAAAAACTATTATAATTCATAGAGTTTTAATCATAGTTTTCTGTCACAGACCTTGGGTCTTCATTCAACTCAGTTTGTGTTAATTGGTTTCCTACCTTCATTTTCCTTCCTCTTTCCACAGCTGTACCACATCTCCTCTAATTAGTTCATCTGGTTTCTTTGTCATTTTCCACATTTCACCTTTTTATTGAAGCTCCCGGTTTTTGTTTTGGTTCCTAGTCGGATTCTTCTATTACTCTATCTGCTATTCTGTCTGAACTTTGTGACCTGCTCTTCCTGCCATTCCATTTCAAGTTTTACTCATTATTTATTATTAAAGAAACCCTATTTTGCCACAGTCAGTCTGTGTACCTGGGTCCTCCATAAGCTGCAAAATCACACTTTCGAGTCAGTACCAATGCTTATTTGTAGTCTAATCTTAATTTGCAATGAGGCACTTTACTACAAAAGCTTCTTCAGTCATGTTATATTTACATGAAATGACAAAAAAAATATTGTACTTTTAATAAATAATGACATGCTGCAATCTGTGATGTGCAATTGTGTGCACCTAAAGATAAAATGAACATTGAAATTTTCAGAATGTATAAAGACCAAATCTTTAAATTGCAGTGTCCCGTAAAAGTTAAAAGGTCTTCAGTGTTTTTTTTGTTTTGTTTTTTTTACAAATGGAAAAAGTGACATGGATTTATACTCAGCACACTGGATCAATACTTAACAGGAGGACATTTCAATGCAGTTAAAGTTGCAATTAGTCTTGAGTTTGCCTCTGCCAAATTTGCTCATTTAAAGACAAAGACTTTCACATTTGGTGTAAAACTATCTCAGCATTTCAGAAAAAGAACATCATGCCAACAGTCAAACACTAATCAAGCATGATCAGGTAGTGTCATGCTTGTTTTTTTTGTTTTGTTTTTTTTTTTTTTTTTTTTTTTTTTTTCATTTGAACAAAAAGGGGAAAAAAATCCCAGAAAAACTTAAATGATTTTTTTTTTACAATGCTATTAAACGGGAAAGCAGATTTATTTGGAATTCACCCAAATTAAAATACAGTTTATTTTAATGAAGATAACAGGACAGTCATAAACAGATGCATGTAAGCTGTAAAAGGTCCCCTCGTTTTAAAACACAGCTTTCTAAAAAGACTGATGAACTAAAACTAGTCAATACTGAGACTGTGAATTTATTCAAAATATGTGAGTGAAGGGTGTACAAACCCCCCCCCCCCCCCCAACAAAAAAAAAACATCATTTTACAATCACTGATATAACAAAACG